TGCCTCAGTTTCCCTATCAGACCTGAGACAGGCCCTTTGTCGTGGTCAAGCAGTTCATAAGTCCTTGGGAAGGTGGTGCTGGAGACATTGAGTGGGTTGTGTCCCTTAAGTGCCCCAGTCAACAGCTCTGAGCCCTAATCTTCTGCTTAATTGGGACCGTTTCCTGAGAGCCATTCCTTACTCCTACCGCAGGCTGCAGAGTGTGGGGGACAGTGGGCATGTTGCCCTGACAGGATCTCTAAAAAAAGGCTGGCCTGGGGCAGGCAAAAGAGTTTCTTTGCTTTTCACACTGCCCAGCTCCTTGGTCTCAGGACAGAACAATTGGCTTTCTGCTGCCCTCTTTTCCTCAGTGAGCATGCTCCCATCTCTCTCACAACTTCCTGGGCTTAAACGTTGGGAAGGCCCCTCAGCTATCTCTAGCTCCAGCACCTACTCTGAGGTCAGCTCTGAGAACAAAGATAGCCATGCTTGACAGCTGCCTTGCCTGGGCCAGCTAAGAAAAGCTGGGGAGACCTCCCAGATATCTCTAGTCTCTAGTTCCCAGCAAATACCAACAGGCAAACACCCAAAGTACAGCTGGGAATTCCTGGTGAGTAACGCCCTCCCCCACCCCCAACCTGGGCGCTGGCAGGCAGATTCCTGGGGCTGGGGGAGGCAGAGGCAGGAGAGCTTGCTCTCAGCCCCAGAGGCAGACCAGGTCACTTCCCGGAGATGAGGCGAATGCTTGCGGGGAGGGGCCGATTCTCCCTAAGTGGGAAGCAGGATAAGGTCAGGAGTAGAGCCCTGGGATCTACTGAGTAAACCCAAGCTTTATTCAGAAACAGCGTGAGAAGCTGGACTGGCCAGGTGATCTTTAGGCTTCTGACCCTTTTCTTGAAATCCTCAGACTACACCCTTGTGTGTCAAGGACAAAGAAGGGTTTGATTCTCTGGGAAGTGTTTGGCCACCTTGAGTAGTAAGTTTCTTTATAAAGGATACAAATGCTCACAGCCCATTAGTTTTTGTTTTAATGTTTGCATTAGCTGCTTTGGTTAGGATACAAAGTGACTTTTTGTTTCAATGTTTGCATTAACTGCTTTGGTTAGCATACAAGGTGATATTAACACTGTAACAGTCTCACATAGGTCACCACCTTTTTGTTCTGTTTCTCCCTCTAGCTGGTCCTCTTCTATTTTTTTCTTTCCCCTTTTCTTTTCCTCTCCCTTCTCTTTCCATCCTTCCCATTTCCCTTTCCTCTCCTTTTTGTGAAACAAAATCTCATTCTGCAGCCCAAGCTAGACTGTTGCACAGTCTAGCCTCAAACTCACAACAATCCTCCTGCTTCAGTTTCTTCAAGGCAGGGATTATAAGCATGAGCTGCCATGCCCAACTATTAAAATATGCACAAATATAAAATGGGTACAAACTCTAGGGCTTTCTCCTTTAGTGTTAACAATAAAATCAAAATGAATACTATTTAAAAGACATTATGAAGCCAGTATGATTTGAATGAGCCACGTTCTAAATTACTGTTCTCCGTGTGATTTAAATCTGGCTGGCCTAGGGCAGGTGTATCCTTAGTGCCTAGGATGCCTGTGTTACCAACAGCCAGGCGATGAAGATGTCTGTGTTACCAACAGCCAGGCGATGACTCAAGCCTCCTACCACTTTCTCAGCTTGAATTGCTGCACGGGGTGTCTTCTAACCTTCTCTTGGTGGGGACACACTATAATGTATGAAGTTCCCCTCTGCTGTTATCCCATTAACACTCAACAATTAACGTTTAAAATAACTCGAGGAGATCCTTAATTTTCAGGGCCCCCGTCTGTAACCGCGGGAGCCTGGCCTTCATCTCAGCTACCTCACAAATAAAGTCATGCACACCCACCTGGGATCCTCATTCAGCCATTGCTTAGAGTACCTACCAGGTGTTGGACACTGTTCTAGGTAGACTGATATAGCAGGGAGCAAAATGGACAAGAGTTTCTGTCCTGTGGAATTTGCATTTCAGTGGGAGAGGCTGATAAAATAACTAAGATCTTGTCTAAAGCGGGGGGGGGGGGGGTCAGGAGGGAATCTAGAAGAAAGGGTAGGAGAGAGGAGGCACTTCCTTCTTAAAGATGAGGTTCCAACCAGAGAGATGGCTCAGTGTTTAAGAGCACTTGCTGCACAGACCCCAGGGACTGAGTTCAAATCCCCAAGTATAAAAACCTGTGGCTCAGGGGCTGGAGAGATGCTTCAGTGGTTAAGAGCACTGACTACTTTTCCAGAGAACTGGGCTTCAATCCCTAGCACCCACATGGCAGCTCACAACTACCTGTCACTCCAGGATCTAACACCCTCACATAGACATACATACAGGCAAAACACCAATGCAAATAAAATTTTAAAAATAATAAATTATTAAATTATTTTTAAAAACTTAAAAAAAAAAGCCTGTGGTTCAGGTTAGTTTTAAACTGACAGCAATCCTCCTGCTTCAGTTTTCTCAGTGCCAAGATCACAAGTGTGAGCTCCATGTTCAATTTTTTCCCACCCACCCACCCACCCACACTGTGCCATGTTCAATTTTTGAAATATCCTTTTGATACGCACAAATGTAAAACTAGGTACGAACTCTCTAGGTTTTCCCTTTTAGCACTCAAAGCAGTGTATGTGTCTGGTATGCCTGTAACCCTAGCAATGAGGGGCTGAGACAGGAGGATCTTCGGAGCTTGCTGTTTGCCAGGCCTAGCTCCAGGTTCAGGGAGAGACCCTGTCTCAAAGGATTAAGGCAGGGAATGATAGAGCAGGAAGTCAGCATCCTCCTGTGGCACTGGTGCACACCCATACTCTCTCTCACACACACACATACACACAGACACATTCATATACAAAACAGCAAATTTAATGGAGCATTGAAGGGAATTCTTGTTGAAGGTTGACATCTAATACCTAAATGAGAGGAAGAAACAAGAGCATTCTACCAGCAGCCAGGAAGCCAGATGACTTGAGGGAGACAGCACCAAGACACACAGAAACACATAGTTAAAATGCAGGGACAATGAGTGTTGGGGACTGTGGACTACCAGACCCTGAATTTCTTGGAAACAACTTGTTTACAGGCTGCTCTGAGCAGGAGACCCTGTTGGCAGGCTGGTGGGGCTGCAGCTGAAAGATCCCAAGAGCTGGGGAGTGGCCAGAGCCCTATATAAGCTGCCCTTGAGCACAATAAAGTGGACATTCTTGGCATTCTTGTCTCAATGGTGTCCCTATGGCCCCATCTGTCTCTGTGTCTCTGTGCTTTTAAATGTTCAGCCTAGTTCCCATAGTGCGTCGTGAGTAGGACACAGAATGGAACTGGTGTAGTTTTACAATTACAGTGGAGGCCCCTCGGGAACGGTGAGGGTGGATTAAAGATGGGGTATGTGTGTTATGTGTGTTTGAGTATTTAAAGAGATAGAGTATAGACAGTTTATAAGTCATGATAGGATGCAATGTGCACAGAGAATTTGGATTATGTAAATTATTGTGTTGTCTTTTGGTTGGTTGACTGGAGACAGACATTTGATTCTGGGAACTGCTAAGAAAGGTATCTTAACTTTAAAATATGGGTCTAAGGATATGTTGCTTTGGAAAAGCGGTTCTGTTTTTGTTTCCACAGAAGATGAGAACCTGTGGGAGTCATTCCAGACTGGTGTGGTTTGATGGACCAAGACCCCCTGAAATGTTGCTGCGAATACCCACAAAGATACAGCACCCCAAATAGCAGGAAGTAGTCTGGAGAGAGAGCTATGCCCAAATTCCCTAAATGATTGTTTAAGTAGGGCTGTCTGCCATTGTGGGCCTGAGGAGCAGCTTGCAGGCATGTAGATGGAGAGCTTGGGTCCTTCCCACAATTCCCAAGCATGGGCCTGCTTCCTGGAGTCCCCAAGAGCAGAGAGGCAGTTGGCTGGAGCACAGCCAACTGCTGTGAACGCGGCTGCGGTTCCTGGCTCTGCAGTTCCTGGCTCTGTGAGCCCAGGAGTTTGTGGCATGCCGTCCAGCAGCAGTGGGAGGCAGGTCACTTCGGCCCAGTCAGTGCCTAGCCTGATGGAGCCATCCTGAGAGAGATCACTGTGGTTGTAGTGGCCGCTTGGAATTGCCATCAGCCAGACGGCTGCTGTGACTATATTGTAGCCGGCACCAGTGTTTAGCCATGAGCATGTTCACCAGGACACTTTCCAACTTATTGTTATTATATTTGTGCCACGCCCGTGCCAATGCTAATTATATAGAAAGAGGGGATATGTTGGGGACTGCGGACCACCAGACCCTGAATTTCTTGTAAACAACTTGTTTTCTTCTGCTCTGAGCAGCCTGCAGCTGCTCTGATGGTAGGTTGGTAGAGCTGCAGCTGAAAGATCCCGAGAGCTGGGACGGGCCAGAGCCCTATATAAGCTGCACCTGAACACAATAAAGTGGGCATTCTTGACATTCTTGCTCGAGGATGGCCCTGTCTGTCTGTCTCTGTCTGTGTGTCTTTGTGTAGCACGTAGTGAGTGGAGCACAGAATGGAACCGGTGTAGTTTTACAAATAAGTATCTGTTGTTTGGCTGCTTGGCAACCACTTCCTGCTCCCAGCAACTGTTCCTCTATATTCCTCTGGGAAAGCACTGCCCCGATGCTTCAGACAGAGTTGACCCCACCCCTCACAGGCCTAGCCAATCAATTAGAAATGATCAGAATAAAGAACCCAATCAGAATAAAGAACAAATAGGAAGCTACTGTCCCTTGAGATCCCCTGCAGTAAGCATTGGCCTGGAGCAGTCAGGTGTCTCATGTGAACTGAGGGGAAGGATGAGACCTAAGAAAAGAAAAATAAAGTTCTGGGCATTAGAATCCCTGGACCTGGAGTTAAGGATAGTTGAGAGCCACCATGTGGGTGCTGAGAACTGAACCAGAGTCCTAGCAGCAAGTGCTTTAAGCCTTAGCCATTTCTCCAGCCCACCATCTCTTTTTTTTTTTTTTTTTTTTAGATATGATGTCATACAACTCAGGCTGGCCTCCAGCTCTATATGTATCTGAGCATCATCTTGACTCTTGAATCCTCCAGTCTCCACCTCCAAGATTCCACATGTGTGCCATCACTCTTGGTTTATCCTGCCATCTTGAGCCCTTGCATCCAAGTTTTACCTGTCAGTGTCTCACTTGCCTGCAGCAAAGCAGCCGCTCCCCGTGTAAGCCAATAGCCCAGGCCCATCACTACATAATAAAGTACTGCAAAGCTGGCAGCCTCAAAGGAAAATCAGGGCACTGCTGCTGAGGAGACCTAAGAGCCGGGGAGCCCAAAGCTGTGGCTCAGGGTCTCTTTGGTGACTTCAGACTGAAGCCTGAAGGGTGTGCTGTCCCAAAGGTCCCCTGATGGGGCTTGTTCCTTGCTACCGAGGCTGTCTGTAAGTGAAGTGTCCTTGAGATATGGTGCTGAGGGACCCAAAAGAGAGCAAGTGAAGACCTCATCTCTGAAGTAACACATGGTCGCCTCCACTTGTTTCTGCTCACCTCCAGTCAGGATCCCGTGCTCCCCACATTGTCCTATTTTTACAAAGGAGAAAGGCCCAGCTTCTCTGGAGAAGGCAGGGTTGCCTGTGGGCATGCAGATGCTGAGGTGTAGACTGTTAGCTCTTCCTTCCTCTGCTCCTGAGCCTTTGTTCAGTGCTGTGTGTTCAGAGAGGCTGTGTACTGTTTGAGAGCCTGGCTCCCTTCCTTCTTGGATGGCCAAACACAATGATTAACGTCCATTTTCTGAAAGAAGCAAGACCACAGAAAGAAGTGACCAAAGTCTAACTCCAAACCACACGTCCTAGTACCATGTCTGACAGGACGTGATAACAGAGCAAGCCTTTTGAAAGCTTGAATGCAAGAATACATGATGCAGATGAGAACTGAATGCCACCAGCCAGGCTCTCTGTCCCTCACAGGTGAGTAGAGGGAGGCTTCTAACAGCTTCTCACTGGGCACAGAGGTTGTAGACAAGACAGAGGACATGTCCCAAATGGAAGCCCACATCCCAGCCTCCGGGTGAACTCGAGCTTTGTACATCTAAGGCCGAGCAGTGCTAGAATCGAGATGACTCCAGATGGAGAAGGACAGCCCTGGCCTGCGTGGTGCAGCCACACAGGCGTCAGAACCCTGCTCCCCTCCACTAGGTGCACTGCTTGCCATAGTAGGGAGGACCTCTGCCTAGCACTAAGGGCCACTTCCTGTGACTGGCCCTCATATACTGATTGGGGTATCGCCCTGAGCCCTACATCACTTAAAAGGATGTTAAAATGAGGTAGGGGGACATGCTTTATAATCCTAGCACTTAAGAGTCTGAGGCAGGAGGATTGCAAGCTGAAGGCCAGCCTGGTCTACTTATGAGTTCAGGACAGAATGGGCATCATAGAGAGACCCTGTTAGGAAGGGACGGAAAGAGAGAGGGAGGGAGGGAGGGACGGAGAGAGGGACGGAGGGGGGGACGGAGGGGGGGATGAAGATGTCAAGCACCTGAAGCCTTTCCTTGCATGTACTCAAGCTAAGCTTGAGGTGCCACCCTTGCTGGGGCCCAGAAGTCATTAACTCTGCCTTAGCCCATCTGGTCCTTCTTGCAGACCTCAGCCAGCTGAAACATGTTTGGATTAAAGACAAACGTCATCAACTCACGTCCGCCTCCAGCCTTCACTATGCACATTAGGCAACAGCAGTCACAGGTCTGCTTTTGTGGGTGCCATTGTCACAGCTGTTGGTACAGACACAAATACTAGGTGAGCTAATAACTCGGGGATAAATGGTGCTTTAACCAGGGGCCCCGAGTACTCTGGAAACATTACGTCATGCCCACCTGACACACTCCCACATACTTTTTTCCCCAAGTCCCTCTATGTTGGAAAGACTTCCACAATCCCAGCAGCTCCATCTTGGCACAGCTTCAGACGCTGTTATGGTCTTTTGGAGGGCTGCCTTACGGGAGACCTTGAGGAGGTTGTCCAGGTCTCCAAGGCCCTCCCAGCCCCACCGTGTCCACCCTCCTGAGCTGTCCTTCCCCTGCCCTAGGTCTTCTATGCTTGAAATGAGAAAGAGCATTGATGGCAGTGTGTGCTGAAGTGTTTTCAAATGCCAGGAATGGAAATCAGTGGATACGTATAATTTTGTAACTGGCATGTGGCATGCCAAAATTGTTGGGACCCTCAATAGTCAACGTGCCAGATTTATAGGTTACCTGTAAATACAAGCTGTGGGTACATTATGATATCTAGACTTGGTTGCTGAATATTCCTGCCTGTTTCTTTCAGGCTTTCTTTCCACCGTGTAAAAATCCAGACACTGACCCAGCAGAACCCAGTTCCTGTTGAGACACAGATAACTCATCCCTCCTCCAAAGAGTTCCTGGGAGCCCTAACAGATCAAAAGCGCAGGCCCTCCTAGCACTGATTCCTCCCTTGTTTTGGAAACAAACCTCGGGGCAGGTGTGGATCATGCCGAAAGCAAACCGGAGCACAAAGAGAGGCGTTGACAGAGCAGAGCCTTCTGTCCAAGTGACTGACCACAAAATGGAAGAAAGTGGGTTCTGAGATGCTTGTGTTCAGCTGTGTAAGGGAGAAGTGCCAGCAGGGCCAGGGGCAGCAGTGTCTGTTCCAGTCACCTGTGAACATCTGTTGGCCCAGTTCCCTGGGAAACTGGGTTGACAAAGGAGGGAGTGAGGGAGCTTCGGCCTGCCCAGGTAAGCTGAGAAGACTCAGACGTGGGGAGGAAGGAAAGGAAGGGTGAGAGATCCCAGGCCGTGCTCTTGGAGGGCAGGATAAGGGATCCCCCAATCCATGTCAGGAAAGCAAGTTTGATCCAGATTCAGGGGAAGGTCTTGAACCCAGAGGGGGGGAAAAATCCAGTCTTCTCTGGCTCCTCTGGGACAGGGGCTGACCCTAAGTCTAGGAGTAGCCCCCCATTCAGGCTCAGGTTCTCTAGGAAGAGCCTGTGGTTGGGGAAGGAGTGTAGGTGGGAGTCCCAGTGTGAAACTGCATAAGCTAAACTTGCTTTGAGTCCTTGCTCCACCACCAACGCTGACCATGACACATGATCGAACATCTTCAGAGTAGCTCCATGAAAGAGTCACTGGGCAACATGTTTTCATCTGTAAATAGGGATGCTGCAAGCGGTGAGTGTGTACATGTGTGTGTGGGTGCATGTGTGTGTGTGTGTATGTGTTCCTAAAAGGAACCGGCTCACGTAGTTATGAAGCTGACAAGTCCCAAGGTCAGCCGGAGAAGTCAAGCAGCAAGCTGAGACCTGGAGAACCAATAATGCAGTCCCAGACCAAAGACCTGCAGGCCTGAGACCCAGGAACTGCTGATAAGCTGGTGTCAAGATGTCAGGAAGGAACGACCTCTCTCCCGTGGGGAGACTGAAGCTTTCCGTTCTATTCCAGCCTTCAACGACTAGACACCTATCTATACCCCTGTACAGCCGACAGGCAAAATTAACCATGACACAAGGCTACTTCGAGCATAAACCAAATGCAATCCCGTGTACTGAGTGCCGGGTAAACTGCACAGATGGACGCTGGGTAGGTAAACCACAGGGGGGTTCGCTGCTGACCTGAAATTCCCACCTGCTCTGTCAAAGGGAGAGGATGTTCCTGAGTTGAGGAAGGGGCAGCCATGGAGGGAAAAGGAAAGGGGGTGATCGCTGATCCAAAGGCCTGAGGACACAGCCAGGGTCAGAGAGCATCCATGTAGTTTTGCACTCAAGAGACTGCTGGAGAAGTCAAAATAGACCCCCACACCCAGTCTCTCTGTTTTTTTGTTTGTTTGTTTGTTTGTTTGTTTTTCGAGATAGTGTTTCTCTGTGTAACAGCTTAGCTGCCCTGGAACTGGCTCTGTAGACCAGGCTGGCCTCAAACTCACCGAGATCCGCCTGCCCCTGCCTCCCAGTGCTGGGATTAAAGGTGTGTGCCACCACCACCACCACCCACCAGCTTTCCCTCTCTAATTTTAGAATAAATTAGATGAGGATTCAGAATCATATCAGGGGCTGGGGATGCAGTTCAACGGTGGAGCATCTATCTCCCTAGCATGTGAGAGGTCCATTCCCCAAAACAGTTTCACTGACCTAGGACTCGATGATTAGTCCTGGCCAGCAATGTCCAGGTGTCCTCCTGCCTTCCCTTCCCTTCCTGAGGATCACAGGCTTACAGCACTGCACCATGTTTTAACATGGCTTTTGGGATTCTATCTCCGGTCTCCATACCTGCCCAGCAAATGCTTTACCAAGGGAGCCATCTCCCCCGCTCTGTTCTTCCCTTCTTAATGCAGCAATTCCCAACTCCGGCTGGGCCTGAGCACATCCCGTGGACAGACTGTGAGGGGTAGAACCCAGGGGCCACTGTGCATCTGTGTCTTTTCTAACTAGCTGCTTCTAGTCTGCCTGGGTTGGCCAGCAGGCATCACGGCTTGCTAGGAGAGAAAGGGATGGTGGTGGGTGTTTTGCCGTTGGGTTTAACTTGGAACCATAGGAACCAGTGACAAACGGGAGGTAGATCGAGGTTCAGGCTGGGAAGAAATTCCTTACCACCGCAGAAACAGCTTTCCTACAACTGCCTTCATGGCCAGCTAAGAACCACGCAAGATGACCAAAGATGATTTGTACAAGATTATAGAGATCGCGCCTCATTGTGCCAAGATCGGTGACTTACTCAGCTTGCTAAATGTCTTCCAACTCTCGTCTGTTTCCAAAATTCAAGCCATTTCTAAGAATTCTTGTCGGGCCACTGGCCAACAAGTCGTGGCCTCCCTGAACATGACGCCTCACTGTGGTGATACCGTGAAAGACTGTAAATGCCCTCTATGCCCTGCTTGTCCCTGATGGCAGACAGACCCTCACATCCGCAGCGAGGGTCTGAAAGACCGCATTCATCTTTCATTCGCTGCTCTGAAAGTCGGTCTATCCGCATGGAGGGATGAGGTCAGACAGCCTGGGTCCCACTCCTGGCTTCCTCATTCCACAGGGATGCGAGTCTCTAGACCTCAGTTGCCACATCAGAGTTTTGTGGGCTTATGTCCTTAAAGCTCTGAGCACAGACCCTCGTCCCTACCACGTACGCTGTAAATGTTGATGTCCTGTTGCCGTCACCGTCCTCCCTGAAGTCAACCCAGTGGCTGCGTCGCTACTACACAGTGCTCTTTTAGATATTCAGATGTCATTCTGAAAGCAGCCCCCAAGCCTGTGGCTACAGCTGGCCCAGAGGCTTGATGCCTTTCCCATCCAAGTCCTTGGTTCTAGCATCCCCTCCCCCCAACCCTGCCACCTCAGCTGGGCACGAAAGCAGAAGCCCAGGAAGTGTTTGCTTTGGAACAAAGGAGGGGACAGCCATGGCTTTCTGGAGGTGTTTACCACCTCCGAGCAAGGAGTCATCTGCTTCTCATAACGAGTGTGGAGTAGAACTGACTTTCTGGAATTGTCTGGGTTAGCTCATTGACTGTCGAGTTAAAGCTCTCATGGGTCCGGACCAAGCCCCAGCATAGCCACGCTACACTTTGAATATGAACTTGAAAGAGCTGGAGTTTCAAGGATAAGACCTTTGACCTTTGCAGATGCTGCCCTCTCCTTCACAGCTCTGTGTGTGTGTGTTGGTGGGGCAGGTGGTCAGGTGCCCAGCTCTCGGAATTGGCTCTGGAAAAGACCACACGTGAAAGTACTGATAGCCACCTAAAGGTTATTCTGTGTGCTTTGTCTCACATTGTACCGCGTCTTGAAATGTTGCCCCCGCTCCCCCTGTCCCAGTCTCAAACTCCTAGACTCTATTTGCCATCCTTATGTACCAGCTAGAGCGCCTTCACCACTCCCTGTCTGAGTTCCAAGAAGTTGCTTTTCTCAGAAGGCTACCAGGACCAGCAGTAGAAGAAAATCCCAGAGTTCATCTCAGACAAACCCAGGCCAGTAGGAATCATGAAAATGTGTTCTTTTGTAGACTGACTGGCTTTCTTCTCTCTCTCTCTGTCTCTGTCTCTGTCTCTCTCTCTCTTCCTCTCTTCCTCTCTTCCCCTCTTCCTCTCCCCCTGTTTCCCCTCCACTATTCCTTTTTCGAACCCCCTTTTTCCAGTTTCTCTTTCCCTGTTGAAGATTCAGTCGTGGTCTTCTGCTAGCCTTGCCATTTTTTACCTACAAAACACAGACAAAGACCCTCACAGGTCAGTTTTATTTTTATTACTGCCCAGGCAAGGGCTAGGTGAGATGCCAGAGCCCTGAATGCTGGCATTCCTAAATGTTTCTTTTGCACTCTTGGTGCTAAGGGGCCAGATCACGATGGGGTAAGAAGTCACCCTCTAGTCCCCAGGAGTCCAGTTGATGGGGGCCAGGGAGTGGGTGGGGAAGGTGATGTTGTCACATCTTGTTACAAATAGAAAGTGGACGTCAGTGGCTGTCAGGAGAGCATCTTTCAACAGCCGCAAATTACTGCCTCAGGGTTTACACGAAACAAAATGACGAGTGTGGAAAGACAGAGCTTTAATCCCTGCCCAATGCATAAGGGATTGTGTGTCTGCTCCGGTGAGGAACTATTGACCTCCAGCTGTAGTTGTCGTTTGTTGCTCTTTTGGCTCTTTGCCCGTTGGGGGCCCACCACCCAACTCCCAAATAAGTACACTCTTGGAGACTTCATCTTACTTTTCTTTATGAATTCCTGGCCTTTGCTTGGCTTATTTCTAGACAGCTTTGCTTTTTCTTTCTTCTTTCTTTTGGTTGTTTGTTTTGTTTTTTGTTTTTTGAAACAGGGTTTCTCTGTGTAGCCCTGGCTGTCCTGGAACTCTGTAGACCAGGCTGGCCTCAAACTCGGAGATCTGCCTGCTTCTGCCTCCCGAGTGCTGGGATTAAAGGTGTGTGTCACCATTGCCCAGCTAGCCAGCCTTTCTTTATTTGAATTATCCCGTCTATCCTTCTCCCCTTTTATCTTTCTCTAGTCTATCTACCTTTCTTTCTTACTCCATTGCTGGTTGTGTAGTTGGATGGCTGGCCCCTCGTGTCTTCCTCTCCTTTTCTTGCTCCTTGATCTTTTCTCTCTCTTTTTCTTCTATTTATTCTCTCTGCCTGCCAGTCCATCCATTCTTTCTCCTGCCTTGCTATTGGCCATTCAGCTATTTATTAGACTAATCAGGTATTTTAGGCAGGCAAAGTAACACAGCTTCACAGAGTTAAACAATGCAACATAAAAGAATACAACACATCTTTCATCATTAAATAAATGTTACAGCATAAACAAGTGTAACACATCTTAAAATAATATTCCACAACATCCAGCTGTGTCCCAGAGGTTCATGGGAAGATCTGATCAGGTGGGCTTCCTTTTACCCTTTGCCATGGAAGGGAAGAATAAGATTCTCCATTGAGCTCAGAACATGACATTATACCCTATTATTAAACTTTCACCACAAACTAGATAAAATGATGTTATTCTTTGAAAAAGGAGGAGAATGAGACTCAGGTTGTGTTGGGCAGTATAGACTAGGCTATGCAGCAGTAACAAAGAGTCTCACAGCTAAGGTGTTTTCCCCCGTCATACAGCTACCTCTAGACAGCAAGACAGCAACTTTGCTGTTTTTGATGTTGTTTCCACCCTTTGCCAATAGAGAGCCTCCTTTATCATCCACAGAGGGAACGAGGAGACTGGAGACTTGTGTTGGAATATTTCAGTCTGCTTAGATGTGGACTCCCTGCCATGTCATTTCTTTTTTTAAAAAATATTTTATTTATTATTGTGGGGAGACCACTGTATGTTGACTGAGTTTTCTGTCCTGCCTGGTTCCCACAGTCATTAAGTCCCAAAGAAATCACACAGAGGTCTACATCAATTATAAACTGATTGGCCCATTAGCTCAGGTTTCTTATTAACTCTTATAACTTATACTAGCCCATTATTCTTATCTATGCTAGCCACGTGGCTTGGTACCTTATACAGCGAGGCAGTCATATCTTGCTTCTTCTGTGGTGGTGTCAGGACTGCGTCCTCTTCCCAGAATTCTCCTGTTCTTTTGACCTGCCTCTACTTTCTGTCTGGCTGTCCCGCCTATACTTCCTGCCTAGCTACTGGCCAATCAGTGTTTATTTAAAATATAATTGAAAGAATACAGACCATTCTCCCACACCAACTGCACATATGTGGAAGTCAGAGGAGAATTTATGGTGTTCCCTCCTTTCACTCATGTGAGTCCCAGAGATGGAACTCTGGCCATCAGGCTCTGAAGAGGTGCCATTTTCCTGAGTCATCTTTCTCCCCCCTCTCATGTAATTTCATTGGCCAGTACTAGTCCTGTCCCAACCCCTGGCAAGAGAGCTAAGATGCTGCTGGTCAGGAGAAGAGGACTGGTGGCTGGTGAGCCAGGATCTGTCCAGGTGGAGGGATCCCTTCCCATCAGCCTCAGCAGGCAAATGGCATGTGTGCACATCTCATGCATGTATGCATCCTTTGTATTCCTAGCCCATGTGTGTGCACATCCTGCATGTGTATGTGTGACCTATGGCAATCTTTCATAACCCCATTTTACAAGTAACTCAAGACTATGGAACCAGGAGGATGACAAGACCTGGCATCCTGGAGCTGACAGCCGAGATTCCCCAGCCTCGGCCCAGATCTTTAAAAGACTCATTTGAGACTCTTCCCAACACAACCAACTCCCTGTCACTTTGAAATTTGAAGCAATCACAGTTTCCCCAATGA